GTATATTAAATCATCTGAATCTTAATGGTATATGCAACCATTTGATTGTACTACTGAATCCTGTCACCATGAATTGGGTCAAAGCTTAGTGGAAATAACTTGTCCTTGTTCCACAGTACCTACAGCTATATCTGGGAAGAACCAAATATCTGGAGTAGTGGTGATTTCTGGAGATACGGTTAGTTTATAGCTAGCAAGTAGATTATGTGGAGGTTCTGGGATAACTCAAATGTTGGATTTGACTCAAACTATAAACACTGTGTCATGAAGTTTTTCAAATGCCTGTAATGCCCCCACATAGTTGTCTCAGGTAGCTGGGCTTCTCACATGGAAGCTCCAAACTTCATACATAAGCATCCTAGCAAACAAGACAGAAGCTATTATGATCGACACTGAGAAGTCACATAATGTCACTAATACTGAAGTCAGTGCTCAGATTCAAAGGAAGAAGACAGAGATTCTGTCTTACAATGGGAGAAGTATGGCTGAATATATGTCTGTTTTCACAGAGACTACACCAGGATGGATGGATGGATGGATAGATCTGTCTGTCTGTCTGTCTGTACATCCATCCATCTATGTTTATATGCACATTTATACATACATATATGTATATATTTGTATATATGAACATGGGACAATGTTTAGGAATAATGTCTCACTGTAGTGAATGTCATCTGGTTTTCTTTTCTTTGTTTTTGTATCAGGGCATTCTTTCTTGCTAAGCATAAAATATCAAAGCCCAAACAGCAATGAACATGATTAGATTGCAAAGAAGCATGTCTTACTTTTGTTTAAAAATAAATACATAGACAAAAACAGAAGCAAACAAACCCAACCCAAACTGCTGTGCCCAGCACTGGTGGGACTTGACCTGATTGAGGTGACTGCAGAATGAAGAAAGGACAGACAGACACATATACAGAAAATATGGGGTCAGGTGGGCCATATGCACTGGAGAGGCAGTGACTACTCAATAACCTAGAACGCCAGGGTGTCATGTACAGGGATGGAGTTAGCAGATGTCTGCAGCCAGCAGTCTCAGAATGTAGACATCAGGGAGGAAGAAGCTACAGTTGCTGGATTTTTTTCACACACTGCCAACATTTGACTCAGACCAGAGGAAGGCTTTGCCATCCCTCTGAGCCTCATCCTGACTAGTGGTGGTGGTGGTGGGGGGGAGGCTTTGCCATTCCCATGGGTCTGAAGTATTAGGTCCTTGACATGGTTGTGCCCATGTCAACAATACATTTACTGAGCCTTTCTTTACACATTTAACTCAAGGCTTCCTAGGATCCCACCCCCCCAAATCAACCAACCAAAGAAACAAACAAATGAATGAATTCCTATTGTAGCATCTGTCTTTGTATCAGATTTTTCAGAGCAATATGGAAAACTCAGTGATATACTGTAGGGACACAGAGCCCTGTTTTCCCTGCAGAGATGGGGCTGGGGAAATATATGTGGATCTAGTTTTTCAAACATCAGTTTAGCACCCTTTCTTTCAAAGTTAAGCATTCTTAGTTGAATTAAACATCGGTCATATAGAAAGTTTCCACTTAATTTCCTTTTTAAAAAAATAAGTTTCCATAAGTGGGTATAATTTATTTATTTTCTTCATTTATTCTGTTTAAATTATTCAGGGGTTGTGTTTTGAGCCTTAATTGGGCAAAGTATTAATGACCCTGATGTAAATGAGAGAGAACTGCTGTGTTTTATGTGAGATCTGTTCCTGTTAGATTCTATTTTCTGGAACGGAGGAGTTATTTATTTATTAAAACTATTGACCCAGATGAATTGCCTGAGATTCACTATTGCCTTGCAGGTGGGGCCTGGGACTCAAGGCCTGAAGCAGCCAAGGCCTTATGTCATCCTGCTCATGAATTTGGAGCGAGGCCTTTAAGAGAACAAGAGTGAGTCAAGGATAAGGAGTGTGGCCTCAACAAACTCAGAGATGTGAATCACCACTTTGGTGATAATTGGTTATTTAGATGGTCATTACTCAGCGGTGATGAAGGATAATGGTATAAAAAGCCAAACCCCAAAGCTACCTTTTCTGATCTGAACCTACTTTTCATTGCTTATGTGTCCCCTGTGCCTCTCCCCGTATGGGAGAAAGATGGAATGTGGAATTAGGCAGATGTGAATTGATATTCTGCACAATTACATGAATGTTGGTAAGTTATTCAAAATTGGGGAGGTAGAAATCTGATCACAATAAAATGGGAAATAGCAACTGCTGTCCAAGAATTAAAGGACCCATGAAATATACAACCTCCATTACCCAGTCTAGCGCTGAAAGAATGGGATCTCTGGGTTGGTCGGTGCAATTATTGTATCTAGAGTAGCCCGCGGAAGTGCACAGCATAGTGGTTTTACAAATGGCGTGGCGGGAAGCTCTTGTGGTCTGAGGATTTTTAAGATAAATTTCCTTACTTTCATTTACTCTAACCTGGCTCATTTTGTCTTTCCCCCACCCAGCCAAATCATGACTGTGACCATGCATGACAGGGATTTCAGAGACTTGGAACGTAGGCGAAGAAGGAGACTTTTTTTTTTTTTGTATTCATAAGACTCTGACCATGCACAGCCATATTGAGTGTCTCATATTCATTTTTCACTTCTTATACTGACCTTATGCAGTGGATATAATATTGCTTAATCAATTACTCTCACACACAGTGACTTAATGGAGCAACCATTAATATTTCTCAACTGTTGGCTGGAGAGTTCTGATGTGGGCCAGGTTTGGCTGATCTTGCCTGAGCTTGCACATGTGTCTGGGGTCAACTTGTGGATCATTTGTGCTGACCGTGTTAAAGGCATTGGTTGGCTGGGACAGCTCAGCTCTGCCTGGTGTTGGTCTCTGACCCTCCTGCAGCTTCAGCATGAGTTTTTTCCTCATGATGATGGCAGGAATCCAAGAAAGAGGAAAAAAAGTTAAGCCTCCTACTATTCTGGCCAAAGAAAATGACACAGCCAAGCTCCAAGTTGGACTAGCAGAGCATCGCCAGGGGAAACAAGTCCAGAGAGGCATGACTAAACAGCTTGTTTAGATAAAACTCGTGGGGCACTTGATGTTCCTACCCTTCCTTCACAAGGAGGGGAGACAGATGGCAGCCATGTTGTGCCTGCCTGGAAAGTGCCCTATCCCTACTCACTAGGTTTCTCTATAGTGGATTTTTTCTCTTTCTTTCTTTCTTTCTTTCTTTCTTTCTTTCTTTCTTTCTTCCTTCCTTCCTTCCTTCCTCCCTCCCTCCCTCCCTCCCTCCCTCCCTTCCTTCCTTCCTTCCTTCCTTCCTTTCTTTCTTTTTCTTGCTTGAGGATGTTTTGTATTAGTTCCATGTTGTACTTCTCATTATTTGCTCTGAATTTGAAACTTCATGTCAAATATTTGGGACCAGCTGATTTTTAACAACAGTCAGTGTAAGAACCTCAAGAGAGCCTTTAGTCAGCTTATTCGAGTAAACTAGGGGAGTAAAAATATCAGCCGAACTGGATGGAACACGAATGAAAGAAAACTAGTCAACTTTACACTTCTTGTCTGCTGACTTCTCTGACTTCACGTTAGCACCCTCTTCTGCAGGTCATTTTTTATGGATTAAGATTTTAAAATCTGAGAAGGGTCAGGTCTTGACGCTGGCTTGACACTTGCCAGCTCTGATCTCAGGCAACACAGCGACCTAACTTTCCCAAGTCGCCATTTCCACCCATATGAAATGAGAACCATTGCCCGGGTATTGCATGGTGGACTCAAGGGCACCTGCAGGTGAAGAGTATAGAGTGCTCTGAGACCCCGTGCAGCCACCAGAATTCGAAGCTGTTCACAGGCACCTCTTGTTACCTCAAATGTTGAAGTGTCTGCTTTCACTAGGTCAGGGCCCTGGGTGTGAGCCAGGACCACACAGGGAAGTTGGGCAGCACAAGGCTCCTAATGCTTTTTATGGCTTAGTTGTGTGCTCTAAGCCACACTTATTAATTATGAGATACTGTTTAGCCACTGTTGCAATATACACATTTGGCTAATTAATTTGTATAGGCTCATATCGAGCAACATAAAGAATGTGCAGGACCGTAACATGTGGACTCTTAACTGCTTCCATCCCTTTCTTTGGCTTCTCAGAGAGGGACTGACAAAACTCTTCTGCCCTTCATTGCCTAACCTAGTATTCACAATATGTTCAGCGCTCAGGAAATGTCTTGAATGAATGATGAATAAAGGAATAATTTTGTTTGTTTCTGTGTTTTTCTATTTACTTCCTTTCGCAACTACATCTGACCCTTGAATTGTGAGAAAATATCACATCTGTGGAAATACAGGCAGGGACTTATTCTGAGCCATTAGTTGATTTTGCTGGGAACAGTCTTAGTCCTTTTGAAGCCTGAGTGTGGTTGAGGGTATAGAGAACAGTATGAACTCCTCCAGTGCCCATGAAATTTAAGAAGGCATGGCATGCTCTCGCAGATGCAGTGGCAAAAAGGTTGCAACTTCTGAGGGGGAAGTTTGAATGTGGTTGCCACTGCAGACTGAAGGTTGCCTTTTCTGACTTAGCTAGTCCTAGACTCTGAACAGTAGCTGAGATGGTGCAGAGCCTGGCATTGCCACGCAGGTGCTAGGCGATCTTTGCCCTACAACTCCTAGAGGCACTGGAGCTTTGCAGCTCTAAGTGAGCGCCTGGCGCCCTCCCCAGACCAGGCAGCATAGAGCGTCCATCCCTAGACCACAGCCAAGGGCAGGGCCCGCAGAGACAGCATCCTGTCCCCTCCGCCGGGACGCACCAGGATAGGGTATCCTGCGTCTCTACAAAAGATCCTCAGGCCGCGGGTGATCACTTTGTGGAGGAGCTCATGGTACACTCAGCCGCAGTTTGGGGAGCCGCAGGGTACGCCAGGCCCTAAGGCTCCCTGGAGCCACCCCCTAGGGTCCTTCGGGAGCCAGCACCTGACTGAGTGGGATCAGGCGAGTGGGTGGCATTGGGAATGGCTGTGGAAAGTTGGGGGCCAGAGCTGCGAGGCGCGGGAGCTCGCAACCCCGCGCCAGTGTCCGCGTCTCATGAATATGCACGAGCCACCTCCCTCCCTCCGTGACGTCACGGGCCGTCCCGGGGTGAGCGCCTGAGCCGCTTAGGGTCCGCGCCAGAGTGCTGCTGTAGCTGGCGAGCGAGTGGCGCGGCGGAGGGCAGCGGAGGCAGAGGGCGAGGGCGGGCGCCGACGCCTGAAGCGCACCCAGCAGCTAGAGCGAGGCGACCCGCGGCGCGGCGGGCACCGGCGGACACCCGCAGGCGAGGCCGGCGCGAGCGGTAGGCGGCGGCGGCGGCAGCTCGGTGGCGGCTCAGGCGGCGAGGATGCTGCCGGGGAGGCTGTGCTTGGTGCCGCTCCTGCTGGCGCTGGGCGTGGGGAGCGGCGGCGGCAGTGGCGACGGCGGGGACAGCCGGCGGCGCCGCCTCCTCGCGGCGAAAGGTGGGTGCTGGGGAAGTTTCTTCTTCTCTGGGAGGGAGGTAGGCAGGGCGGGCTCGAGGGTGCAGACCGCGGACTTAACGCGTGCAGTACTCACCCTTTCTTGTGGCGGCTTCGGTTTCTGCGCGTAGGGTCCCCGAAGTCAGCGCCCTTAGCTGTGGACCCCTGAGGTTTTCCGGCCCAATCTCTGGGCGGGGTCCTGGCGCCAAGGAGAAGGAGAGGTCTATGGAGTGCAGAGAACTTTGGGGGCCCTGTGTGCTGGGGTGGGAGCATCGCGGACTCGGCTCAGGGATGCTTGGAGCAGCGCCCGGCATGGCTGGACCGGGAGAGAAGAGCAAGGGGGTGGGGGGGACAGGTGTCTGTCTGCTGCTGCCCTGCGGGTAAGAACCAGGGGCATCTTCAGAGGAATGAGCCGAGATAGACTGGTACTCCAGCTTGGGAATAGCGTGGGAACTTGTAGGTTTCTGAAAGCCTTGCCCGCACCCTCACCCGGGCGCTCCGCAGCGCGGGCTCTGGCTCCCCTGGGAACGCACACCCTCATGATGGGCAGAGTCCGAAGAAGCGCGGGATGTGATGGTCCTTATTGCCACTCACACTCTGGAGGTCCAAGTCTCCAAGTCCGGAGCTCTTCTCTGGTCTTTCTAATTGATCTTGACCTCTTCAACCCTCCAAGATTCTCATGAAAGCTGGCGCTGTCAGGGACAGCCTAGTAGCAGGCGAGCCCCAGACTTTGACAGCTGCCTGGGAGCGCTGGGAGGGTCGCCTGCTGGGGAGCAGAGTGTGGAGGGTGGGTCTGGAACAGAAGGTCACGCGGTAGCCAGAGGTTGGGAGGCAAAGCGGGAGCAGGGTTGGGGTGGATGGTGGTGGGCTCAGGCAAGGTTCTGGCTATTTCAGGAGGGAGCGCTTGGTTTTTTAAGGGCCTAAATGGTAACTTGTTGATTCTCTGCGCTGTTGATGAGGAGGGTGTGCGTTTGGTTTCTGCCAGGTGAAGGTGAGGGGGATATGTGGTCCTTGGAATTATGCCTGGAGATATTTTGAAGACAGAGGGTTTGTCGTTGTTGGGAAAAGACTAACAACTAGAGACAGCCTGATTGAGAGGCTTGCTAGCAGATCAGGGGAGGAGCACACAGCAGACTGATCTCTGGAGTTGGGGAGCAGGGCATTTGCTTTGTCTAGGCTTTGAGAACTGCCCCTCCTATCATTTGTAAGTGATACATTTGAGGCAGGAGGTATTTCTATTCGTTTAAATTTATTAATTTTTGGTGGAAAAAGTTTAATGCACAAGTGTCTTTCTACCATTCACCTCCCATCATTTCCTTAACAAGGACTTTCGTCTTTCAAGACAGACCATTACGAAAATGTCTTTTAAAAAGTGGTATGGTAAAGGGGTGTCTGTATCGAGGGATCAATGTAATCAATATTCTGTTGTTCTGGTGAAATATGAATAAAAATACAAGGAACGCCCAAATGGTTTGCTGTACTTCTAGGTAGAGACCCTTTGATCGGCAGGCAGATTTCTGTCTTCCAAGGTTATTTATCACTTTGCTGCAAAGTGGCATATTTATAAACAAGATGGTAGGGAGCCCTCAGGAAGTGAAGACTAGGGAAGATGTAATTTTGGAAGAGAACTCCTTGTGTACAACAGGTTGCTGAGTTGTTTGGTAAGAATGGTACATCAGAAGCCAGGGTGAGAAACTAATCAACAATAATGCAGGGTTTCACTGATCTTGAGTATGTAAAAAAAAAAAAAATCTATCTTAGCTATATGTAGATCCTAGTTAATATATATATAACATGTAAGTAGTTATTATGTATAATAACTAAGACCTTTCATTTTCTTCAATATCAATTTCAAGGTTTAATGCCAAGCAGTTTGTCATTTTACTGTAAGTTTTATTAGCCTTGAGGATGGGAGCTCCTCTCTGAATTCTTCTTGTCATTCCCCTTATAACCACTAGGGGGATGCAAAGAGCACCATTTGCTATTTATTTTTTATTTTCAGACAAGTACTATTTGGTCTCAGCAGACACATTTTTTAAATAACAGTTTAGTTGCTATTTACAGGGCAGACATTCCTTATTTCACTGCACTTGAAGTTTGCATTTCTAAATCATATAATCTCTGAGGAATATTTGGGAGGGACAATAAAACCGTGTTTTCTGTATAACACATCCTGCCTTTGATATGACTGTTTTTCAGGTCCCTATCATTTCTATTCCCATCATCAAGAACGAGAAGACTAGGAGGGCCTGTGTGAGAGAGATAGCTTTCTCTTTCAGTGCACCTCCCAGTGCAGAGGTAGAAGACAGACACCTGGGAGCTTGCATGTAGTTGCCTAGCTGAGTTGTACACACCCTCTGAGTTGTACTACACAGCCTCTGGACAACTATTTGCAAGTGCTCCTGTAAGATGGTGTGTCTGCAGAGCAATGTGTCTGCCTTCATATGGCTTGCTTCTTGCTGCAGGGGACCCGGAAGCTGACACTGTTGGGAGTTTTCACCGAGTGTAGAAATTTCAGTACAACCACGTTCCAGTATCAGAAATAACACAGTGGTCAGGCAGTTAGCATCTGCTTCTTCACTCCCCTATCCCTAGGATAGGAGAAGAAAACAGACCACCCCTTCTTGGACTCCTTGAAGAGACCAGGTTGTATACATTGTATACATCCCTATTTTAGGGAAAGCCACAACTTATCCAAGAGAAAGACAATGCAGACAGTCACCTGAAGGATTATGCAATAAAATTCTGTGGTCTCACAAACTTGAGGGCTCAGTGTTCATTCTCTTTCTAGCTGCCAGATTCCCAGCAGACAGGCCATTCAGTATAGTCCTGGAGTATAGACCAGCAGTCGCTACAGTCTCACCTAGTGAGCCTGTAAGCAGGCCTGTGTCTGTGGAAACCAATGTTCTGGCTCAAGGAAGCAGCCTCTTCCTTTCATCCACAGACTAAAGATCTCTGAATACTGTACAATATATGTTGCAGTACCTCTCTGTCCTGGAGGGGGATGTGGACTCCTGTGGTGGTGGTGTTTAGGGCTTTAATAGAGTCACTTCTCCAACTGAGACACAGGGTCCCACTCAGTTCTCAGCCTTGAGTTAGCCTGCAGTTATCCTTAGTCACCTCTGGTCTTATGGTTAGAAGGTCTTCCTCAGCTTAATTTTCATTACTACACAAATGTGGTCAGACGTGGGTGTGGGCTTTTCTAGGAAACTTCTTGGCAGGCCCTTCCCAGAAAGTTATGCCTCTGCCTCAGGCATGCTTGTGTTTCTTTGCCTGATTCTATGTTGATCTGTAGTAGGCTCTCAGGGCTCTGCTGTCTTGCTTGGGCTGGCCTCCAGTTGTGAGATGGGCAACCAACAATGTTTGGTTTAGTGTATGCACTTGCATGCAAAGGTGGTATTCCTTCCCCCCCTTTTTTTGACATAGACATTTTAGATTTTTCTCCTGTCCTGTAAAGTAAAATTGTGTTTAGTTGCCAGAGCCTCAGTTTTCATATCTGTAAAGTAGGGATGCAGACGTCTTGTCAGAATAGTATTCAGAAAGCTTCTATCTCAGATTTAGTGTCTCTTACACATTAAAAACATAACAACACGAAAACCAAAAACCAATAACTCTGACTGTCAACCCTCTAAACACCTGGGCATAATATTCAAGACCTAAGTTTTCCTTTTCTGAAGTCTTTAAAATTCAATAGCTTTGTCCAATCAGCTCAAACTTGATTCTCTCGGTCTCTGGGTCTTTTAGTTTCTCTTTGTATGAGGAAGTGCATGTATGAGCAAACACCACCTACACATACAAACATGCATGCACATACACACGTTTGGTGTACGTTGTGAAGCTGCCTCCTAACACTGCTCTATGAATGCCTTGGAAACCACCTGTCATCTCTAATGGCAAGCCTGAAACTTAATGCAGAGCCAGTGGAGAGTAAGGCTTGGCAGTGTGCTGTACACACATAAAAAAGCAAGTGTATCTCTAAGTACAAGCACCAGAGGTGTGGGAGCTTCGGGTGTTTGGAGGAGGAGCACGCGGTGTGATTTGGGTTATAAAAGTAGATCATGTGCTGGGCTGCTACTTGCCTCCCAGCTTGCTGTGCTCAAAAGCACGCAAGTGTTCCTTTCCATCAATGACTTTCATAGCATTTGAGATGATTTGTATTTACATGGATGAGGGTGACCCAAACTTGGATGACCAACAGACAGCTTGAGTCTCATTATCGTTTTCTTCTTTATTACTTAGCCCAGCACTAATTGGACCCTGTGGAAATGGTTTCGTCAGAAGATTAGGTTTTAAGAAAGGACCATGGGCGGGGCTTGGAAGCGACTGAATTGAAGCCACTGACACTATGTAGAAGAGAGGATCCAGCTGTGGGGAAGACAGAGATAGGAGGCAGGAGAGGGCAGAAGGCAGACAAATGCCTGTGATGGGAGTTAGAATGGTCCTAACTTCATGCCGTGGCCTCTGTTATTTAGCCTATTTCCCCCTTCAAAGTTCATGCCATCTTCCTATTTCCATAGAAGACTGGATTCCTAAAGGGAAATGGGCCACTCACCCCGTTGAGACGGTTGCTAAGCTCTATATTCAAGCACTTGAAAGTCCTCCTAGAGTCAACCCTGCACTCAGGCTGCTCCCTGATTTTGACCTGGCCATTTCCCTACCAACTTACAGCCTCTGCTTTATAAGGGTTTAAAACACCCAACCCTGCAGATGGATCAGGACACTAACCACACACTAAGGTGTGTGAAGGAGTCAGACCTTGAAGATGCCACCTTAAATTGCACTTGGGAGTCTACAGACACTGTTCTCGCCATGACTGAGAATGTTTAATCAACTAAAATTTTGACTTAGTTCTTTGGAGTCATTGCATTGAATTGTTATGTGAAAATTGTCAATTTAAAATAAAAGCACATCATTTTTGTGACCTCTGTCACCCTCTTGCTACAATGTCTGTTTTATTATGTGCTTAAATAAATATGCAGCCTTCTCTCAAGTCTGATTAGAAA